AAAGTCGTTTCTGACGGGTTAAGCCTGTCGGCATCCTTTGATCTCTGCGATTTTTCTGAGGGGTAAGGGGAAAATGTACAAATTTCTGAGGGGTGTTTTGTGTCGGCACTTTGATCTTTTTTTCTTAGGGGTTAAAATTTTGCTGACCTCATCCGTAGGGGGGGGGGGGTGGATATTAAATGGAATGGCCCTTACCAATACTGTTATGTATTTTATTGAAGTTAAAACATATTTAATAATTTTAGCCCTTTTGTAACTCTACAATGCCATGACTGACAAGCTTGTTGCAGTGGCTTTGTGATAACATTTGGTATACAGTTGTTTTATTACAGCAATTTATGATTTATTTATTCATTTCTAATCCTAGGTGGAAGAAGGGGTGTAATCAGCTTGGCCCACATACTCAGGTTTACAACGTGCGCTGATGAAGAGCCTGTTCTAGGTTTTACAATACAACCAAGCATCACCTTTGCAGAAGTGGAAGAAAGTTGCAAGTTTGTCCCAACTGCAAATACTTGCATATGTTCACTGGTACTACCCCATCCAACGCACCTCATCCCTTTACCAGAAACCACCCTTCTCTTTAACTTATATGATTATGCTTTCGCAAATGCCTTCTTTGGAAATGTCTAACATTGATACTTAAATGGAAGCTTCCATCAACACCTGTTTGGTTATTTTTTAATAGTTTTAAAAATTAATTTAGAAATTAAGTTTCAGAAATTAATTAAGTAAATCTGTCTTACACATGCGTATATATAAGTAGCCAATATTAGTCTTACATGAGTATACCCTCCTGGCTCCTATCTTTGGAGAGTTCGTTTCACACTTGCTGTGATTGACTAAGATCCGGGTTTGCCTGCCGGAATAGTTAAGACTAAGTAGCCAATCACAGCAGTCACAATCTGTCAGGGGTTGTATATGCTTATTTACTGTCAACAGCAGATGATTCCCAAGTGTGTTGTGTAATTTCTAATAGATCTTAGATGTGCTTACATATTTTCATATCACTATTTCACTTAATTGAACTCTTGCAATTTCCCTGCATACTGTATATTGTTAACATAGTTCTGGATAAAAATGTTAATGTCTAATATTGAAACTTAAATGGAAGTTGCCATTAACACCTGTTTTGTCATATTATTGAATCTAAAATTGCTATTCTGCTTGTCATATTATATAATTATATGGAATAGCATATACAGTCGAACCTCTATTAAGCGGCCACCCTCGGGGATCGGCTTTGTGGCCGCTTAATAGAGGTGGGCGCTAAATAGAGGTACGCAAATAATAGACCTTGGGCGTAGTCAATGCTTTTGAGGTGTAAAACTTTTGAGGTGTAAAGTGCCATGTGTTAAAACATAATTTTTAAGCCTTATTTTACAAATAAAGCAAATTAGCTCGACTTTTATTTTCGGCTCTCTTGACAAGGTGTTTGTCAAGGTACAAATTGACATAAAATATCATTTAGGACCGCTCTTTGGGTGGCCGCGGCCGCTTAATAGAGGTGGCCGTTTAATAGAGGGATAGTTTCTAGTATTTGTATTACAAAAATTTCGGGACTGTGGCCGTTTAATAGAGGGTGGCCGCTTAATAGAGGTTCGACTGTATTAGCGTCGAATAAAAATATTCCTATGACTGTAAGCTGCTGAGTTCAACTTAGACCCTATAGACACAGGTGTACGGGCCAGGAGGGGGGTCAGGCAAATTATAAACTAA